TCAAAAACCCTAAAGAAATGGCAAGGGAGACAGAATTCTATTAACCGCTGCTTCCAGAAGGTTAAAAACTGCTCCTTTTAAGGTCGATCTCAATAAAGGTGAGTTCTTTTTCAGAAAGAATTTGATCACCACCTTTAATCTTCAGATTAAGCCCTAATCTTTGACTTACCTGACTTCTCTGATCCTTCCTGGTCACCGGGCACTATCCAAAGGTCATGTAACCCCTTGGGCACAATTTGAAACTCTAGTGATCCTCCAAGAATCAGGCGAAGATGCAAAACTTCAGATTCAGTAACTTCTCATGCTGCCGACTGGATTAGGCTCACATGAGAGCCCTAAACTGCCCTAGTTTTGGCTCTGATACCAACTTGAAAGAATTAAACCAGAAAATAGATGTTTTCTGGTTTAATTCAGTAGAAAAAGAAGAGAGAAAAAAAGGTCACAAATAGAAGAGAGAAGAGAGAGGAAGAGAAGAGGAAGAAAAAGAAAGGGTTCGGATAAATTATGTTTCTAGCCACCCACTCAGTCTTATTTATATTGTAATCTATTACAATGACTAGTTACCTTAATACCCTTACTTAAAAATAAAAGAAAGACAAACAAGGCCCAACCAGCCCAACTATTCTAACTGAAAAATAAAAAGATAAACAGCAATTATAAAATGTGGGGTTGGAACCCCACACACACTAATAGCCTATCAGCTATCTCTACAGATATATCTTAGGAGATCATGTGATGAAGTACCCATTTTGGTGTGACAATTCTACCAGATGGTTCTCATACAATTTGGAGTGAGGACTAAAGTCTTCAGATCAAATGATGCTAGAGAATACTTTGAGAAGGACTTGTCCTAATACATTTTGGAGCATGGTGTGATTCATCAGAGTAGTTGTGCATACACACCGCAACAGAATGGGGTAGCAGAGAGGAAGAATAGACATATTGTGGAGGTGGCAAGGAGCCTTATGGTGTGTGCCTTAGTTCCTATTCGCTTTTGGGGGGATGCAATTCTCACAACTGTGTATCTGATTAACTGTATTCCTTCATGCACTTTTGGGTTTAAGGCACCTTTCAACTTGATTTTTCCGGATGGGGAGACATTTCATATACCTTTGAGAGTTTTTGGGTGTCTCCTTTGTTCACATTCTTGGTCCTCATCACAAGAAATTGGATCATAAGGCTAAGAAATGTGTTTTCCTTCGGTATGCTCAAAAGAAAAAGGGGTATTGTTGTTATGATCCAATGTCAGGGAGTAGGTTTGTTACTATGGATGTTACCTTTTTTGAGTCTACTTTCTTTTTCTTGGGTGGTTCTCCTCAGGGGGAGTGTTTTGGGAAGGAGAACTCACAACCTGTCCCTCTTCCGGTGTCATTTGTTCCTTCATCTGATCCGCCTATTCCACCATTAGCAACTATAGTCCCATTGCCTGATCCACTACGACCAGCCTCACAAATCTATCAGCGCCACTAGAAGAGGGTTGACTCCACACATGCTCAGATAGAAGAACCTATACCACTCTCCATTAGTCCATCTGAAATCCCAGGTTCAGCTGATACAGTTCCAGGTATTTCCCTTGAGCCTAAGCCTGCTACTTCCCCTAATAATGATGTTTTTGTACCTAACATTATTATGGCAGCTGATCCCTCTGATCTTGATCTTCCCATTGCACTCCACAAAGGGAAGAGAAAGTGTATAGCCCATTGCATTTCACACCATCTCTCCTACAGTGCCTTATCACCCTCCTACTGTGCTTTCCTTTCTTCCTTGGATTCTATGTCTATACCCAAGAATGTCAATGAGTCTCTCTCCAAACCTGAGTGGAAACTAACTATGCAAGAAGAAATGGAAGCCTTGCTTAAAAATCATACATGGGAGCTGATCTTCCTACAGACAAAGAGATAGTTTGATGCAAATGGGTGTTCATTGTGAAGTACAGGGTCGATGGTAGCATAGAGAGGTATAGCGCAAGGTTGATTGCAAAAGGTTATACACAGACCTATGGTATTGATTACCTGGAGACTTTTGCACCGGTTGCTAAGATGAGCTTAGTTCGGATTCTCTTGTCCCTATCAGCTACCTATTCATGGCCTCTATTCCAGCTTGATGCTAAAAATGATTTCCTTAATGGTGATTTGCAAGAGGAGGAATATATGGACACTCCAGTTGGTTTTTATGAGAATGTTGGTAAGGGAAAAATTTGCAGGTTGAAGAAATCACTAAATGGTTTGAAACAGTCGCCTAGGGCATGGTTTGAGAAGTTCAGAGAAGCATTTATCCGTTTTGGGTACATACAAACTCAATCCGACCATACTCTCTTTGTAAAAAGGAGAGAGGCACTCTTGTTAGTATTGATTGTATATGTAGATGATATAGTTGTTACAGGAAATGATCTGAAGGAGATTAATGCACTCAAGAAATTAGTACAATAAGAGTTTGAGATCAAGGATCTAGGTGAACTGAAATACTTTCTGGGGATTGAGGTTGCAAGATCCAACTATGGGATTTTCATCTCTTAAAGGAAGTATGTATTGGATTTACTACATGAGACTAGGAAGCTAGGAACTAAACTAGTTGATACTCCTATTGATCCAAATCATAGAAATAATGCTTTGGATGGTGAGTTGGTTAAGGATGTAGGAAGATATCAGAGGATAGTAGGCCAGCTACTGTATTTATGTATGACACGTCCAGAAATCACCTAAGTTGTTAGTCTTGTGAGTCAGTATATGCATGCTCCTCAGGTTCAGCATTGGGAAGCCATTGAGAGGATACTTGCCTACCTGAATAAGCATCTTGGCATAGGGATTCTTTTCTCGGACCATGAAAATTTAAAGCTGGAGACCTACACAGATGCAGATTGGGCAGGTTGCTTAGATGACAGGAGATCTACATCAGGGGTATGCACCTTTGTGGGAGGAAGCTTGGTCTCATGGAAGAGTAAAAAACAGTTAGTTGTGGCTAGATCAAGTGCAGAGGCTGAATATAGATCTATAACTCATGGTGTTTCAAAACTACTTTGGGTGAGATCTCTAATGAGTGAGATTGGAATAAAAGATGAGGAGCACATGATGTTATATTCTAACAACCAAGCTACAATCAATATTGCACACAATCCAATTCAGCATGACAAGACCAAACACATTGACGTTGATAGACACTTCATAAGAGAAAGGGTGACAACTGGAGAAGTCTGCTTGCCTTATGTCTCCTCTAAACTACAATTGGCTGATGTCTTCACCAAAGGGGTTGCAAAGAATAAGCTTGAATACAATATATGCAAGTTGGGAATGTGTGACATTTACTCCCAACTTGAGGGGGAGTGTTGAGGTTTTAGACAAATTATGTAATCTATAGTGGTAGTTTTTGATTATTTATTGTTTAGATAGGAAGTAGGGACCACAACACTCGATTGTATCTGTACACTCCCCCCCATGTTGGGAATAGATATTGGTCATTTCCAACTTGTGTAAATTTGTCTCCATCTTGTCTTTAGTAACTGCTTTGGTGAAGAGACCAACAAGTTTCATATCAGAGGCAACATAAGGTAGACACACTTCTTGTGAGGCATCTCTCTCCCTAAGAAAGTTTTGGTCCACTTCAATATGCTTCCTCCTATCATGTTTGTATTAGATTATGGGCAATATTAATGGCAACCAGGAAAGAAGAGTGGTTCGACCAATGTTGTGACTAGCACACCTAGCCATGATGAGTAGACCTCTAAGATTCCACTGTACCTAGTTAGAGTTCTAGGCTGAAGGAGGACCATATCAATTCCCTTCTTGAACAATTTGCTAGGGCAATCCATCAGCTTGAGGGAAATACTTCTAATCCCTCCACTTTGTTTGCAACAAGCTCAAGTAACCTAGCTATTGCTTTCCATGCTACTCCTGTCCCTAGGGATCCCTGGATAATTGACTTTGGGGCTTCCAATCACTGGAAAGCCCAACTTGTTTTGTTCTTATAAATTATTGTCAATGAGAGATAAGGTGAGACTAGCAAATTGGTCTCTCTCTTCCATCACTAGTCAAGGAATTGTATCCCTTTCTTCTGGACTTGTATTAACCCATGTCCTTCATGTGCCAAAGTTGCCTATTAATTTGCTTTCAATTAGTAGCTTGACCCAATCTTTGAATTATAGGGTAACTTTCTCTTCAAATTCTTGTGTCTTTCAAGATTCGACTTCAGAGAGAACAATTGGTAAAGGTTGTATGGCCAATTGCTTGTACATCCTAGATGATGATGCCAGATCAATGGCTTTTCTTCCTACTGTTTCCATGAATTTTAATGATAGTCCTGTTAAGAGTCTTTTATTTTGTGGCACTTTCATTTGAGTCATATATTGTTTGAAGCCTTAAAGAGTCCTTCCTTTTATTAACCCTTCTAGCCCCTTCAACTTCAACTTGTAACAGATTACTTTTCCTAACAGGTACTTGCTCAAACCTTACTTTGTGAGAGAAAAACAAATCATGTCAAAGTGAAAAGACAATATCTCTGCTACAATTGAGGCAGAATTTCCATGCAGTTGGTTCCTCTAATACCAGGATAAAACAAGATTTCATTCAGACTTCAACTATAATTCAAGATGCATCTGTCACATAATAAATATCTTTGGTGAAAGGTTTTATATTATATAGTTTTTAGTTTTCCTAACAAAATTTGGGTTATCCATCGACAGAGAATGATTCTTTTAGCAACAGATTGGCTCATAATATATGTAAAAGTTTTTCAAATAAAACCGTAAGTTATTCACTAATTTATAGTGGTTAATTGTAAACCAAGAACGATTTGCTCTCACTGGGAGTGGCTCATACTACTGATTAGCGCATCCCAACAATCAAAATCAGGTAAACTAACAACCTGCATTTTATGATTGAGGTGTTGATCTATGGAAAAACTACTCAAAATTTAAATTCAAATTAAGATGCGCCCTCAAAGAAAAGGAACAAATGCAAAAGACGCATCGTTTCAGTCTGTTTCAGTGCAATTGTAATTCAACTGACCTTTGTAGGCGAGTGGAGGCAAGGCTCCCGAATATCGTGAACAATGGAACTTACACATTGCAAATTGACCACACCAACTTTGCCACAAGTCCATTGCTTGTCCTCCTCGTCGAAAGACATCACGAATTTCCTCCTCTCACATCATCACCTTCTGAAGCCGATCGAACCAATCGATTCAAAACAGAGGTTCAGAAAAAGAAAAAAAAATGTCAGACATCCTATTTCCACATTCAGCCTAACAAAAACCAAATTTTCAATGAAATGAAATTTCGAGAATCAAATTAATTCTATGATCACTGGATACTGCAACTCATTCGGAATTGGAAACAGGATAGGCTTCATGGATCCGAAGTCGATCAAATCCAAAATTCGAAAGAAATTCAGGAAAGCTAAAATCCATTCAAAGTTCTTGAATGAACAGAATCGATTTGAAGTTCTAAAAGAATCGGCAAAAAAGAAATAAATAATAACAACATGAACTAACCTGAAAATGATGGAGATTTGGAAATGTATGGTACAGATAGAATTTTCCAAGCTCCGTCGCCATTTACAAAGATCGTTTCAATCTGGCTAGAGTTTTTCTTTTTTTAATTTTGAAATAATAATTATAGAAATGAGAAAATAATAATCTTCAGACATAAGGAAAACACAAGTCGGGCACCTTTTTCATTTCATTATTATTATTATTATTATTATTATTATTATTATTATTATTATTATTATTATTATTATTATTATTATTTTATTTAATACTTTTTTCTGCAATACACACAGTGCGCACGGCGCGCCAGAATCCAACATCTTTGGGAGTTACTGTGAGCAGTGCGCACAGGTGCGCAATATACATTTTTCTGTTGGTCGTTGTCTCCCTTGATTTTATTCGGTAATCGATTAATCGTCCCTCGTCAAAAAAAAAAAACGGTCAACCAAGGATCATTACAAAGTGCAGAGTAAAACAAAGTTGGACTTTTAGGCTGATCATTTTCGTCCTGGCCCAGCATGAAAATTCTGGGCCCACAAATTTCTGGCTCGGCCTAGGCCCAATATTTCAAGCTTGGAACAGCGAAGCCCGTAATTATTTATTTGAAAATTTTATATATTATCTATATTACTTTTAAAAGTAGGAATAGCCTAAAGAATATTTATAGAATTTTTTGAGGATAAAATTTATCCCTTTGTATTTAAATTTATTGATAAAAAATGAGGGCAAATATGATAATTGGTTATTGATATTAAATGAGTTGAAAAGAGGTAATTTTAGGATATTCAATGCATTAAATTCTCTCACATTAAATCCAATGTTTAAGGTATTAATTTGCATTCACCTTCATTGAATCATATATTTAAGGATTTTTTGTTTCTTCTCATCATTAAATTCTATAATTAAATCCATACATAATAAATTAATAATTTCAATAACATAAAAACTTGTACTTTTAAAATCTACCTGGAAAAAATAGTGTTTTCATCTAGGTGGTGGTAAGAAATTAAACAATTTGGGTCAAATGAGTCAATCCATGTTGCCACAATTAAATACTAAAATGAAAAAATATAGAAATAAAAAAATTGGGTACGTTTTTAATATCATATATTTGGCATATTAAACAATAATAAGTATGATATTCGTTTTTGCCTTCAAGTCATAGGTTACCGGTTCGACTATCAAGGTCAAATGTGTCAAACCGCTCTCTGTGTAAAAATATATATTTTATCAATAAATAATATAATTATATTTTACACATATTAATTACATATAATATATGTATTATGTTACATTTATTTATGTTTTTAATTGAGTTTTAATTTTTTATTTATAAAAATATTAAAATTTGCAATTTGGGGCCAAAAAAGGGGTTTTTCACAAAAATAGCAAGGCAAGGCACCTAAGGCCCTTGGGACATATAGATCTTGAAAAGTTACTGGAAAAAATAGATAACCCCAATCGGACATAGAAGTGCAAAGTTATGGCTTTCAAAAGTTTGCACATAATTAAAGTGTACAACCTACGACTTGCTTACTAGGTTGAACAGGTCAATGGTTGAACCACCCGGATTAGACAACTTTTAACTGAAAGGGAGAATTTCAATAGAACCAAACCCAGAATCACGGTTCAATCAGCCAAGTCAACAACAGGTTAAAAACATTGATGATAAATAAGAAATATTTTTATTAATGATGGAAATGAAATGTAAAATTTAAAACCAATTGGAATTTGGAAGTAAAACTATTTTCCTATTATCTCTCACTAAATCTCATATCTAAGGTATATTCTCTTATTAAATCATATATTTAAGATATATTTTTCTCATCATGAAATTCTACTAATTAAATTCACAACATTAATTTTATAATATAAAAAAAAAATATTTTGAAAAATAATTTGAAAACAAATCCATTTTCTTCCCTCTCAATGGTGGGTAAACAATTCAACCATTTAGGGTCAAATGTGTTAATATATAATGTCATATTAAATAATAAAAATTAAAATAAATAAAATACATAATACAAAATAATAAAAAGAACTGGACACATCACTTATATTGTATATTCATTATATTAAACAAAAATAAGTATGAAATGTAAGAAGTATATTTATAAATGATGAAAATGGAATGCCAAAATAAATATCAACCTATAAATGATAATGAAATTTAAAAAAAATAGAAAATACAAAGAATCACAAAAATAAATATAATACATGAGATATAATATAATTAAAAGAATATATAAAAAAGTATATATTAATTATGCCAAACAAAAATTAAGTGTGATAATTAAAAATTATTTATATAATGTTGATTAAATATATAATTTAAAACTGATCTGAAAGCAAAGCTATTTTGTTATCTAAATGGTGGGTCAATGATCCAACTTTTCAAAGAAATTCATGATGTCATAATTGAATAATAAATATTTAAAAAAAGATAGAACACAAAAAATAAAAAAGTATAGAGTTTTGTCAAAGACATTTTGGAACATTTCTAGTGTTATATAGTCTCATCATATGAAATAAAAACAATTGTATATTTGGTACAAGTATTTAAGTTTATTTTAATCATATTGTTACTTTTATTAATTTTCAATTTCTATGTTAACTATGATATTTCTAAAATTCAAGTAATTAATATGAAAAAAATTCATTCATGCAACATATGTGCTTAATTACTAGTATGTATGTATACCCTTCTGGCATCCTATATTTACCCAATATTATATGTTGCATAATATAATGCAAAACATTATATTTAATATGTACCATGTGTGTCATATTATAATATTTATACACAGTAGGGTAAATCTATGGTGTTGAAAAGATAGGATATAGGAAGAGCTTTGATCAATCAAACCCCCAAGTTCTTACGGTATCATAGTCTGTTGAATGACTGTTGAATGGTTATAAGTTTTTTTTTTTCGTATCATAGTTGAACCTTATATTATTTGTTCTACATTATATATATTTAATATTTCATATTTAAAATTATAGGTTGAAACCTGAGCTAGGCTCACATTTTAGGCCCAGGGGAGGGGACTGAGCTCAAGCCTAGGCTATAACCCATATCATAGGTGCTAATCTTGGTTCAAGCCAAACCCATGATCACCCCTACTTTATTGATTATGTAGATGCATTGATTAATCTTAGGTAATTAATTAATAAATTCATTGATTACACAATGACCTTTGCATGGGCCAACTTAGTTAATTATCAAGATCTAAAGACCATTGGTGATTAGGAGTGGTCAACCACAAGAATTTGCCATCTTTGTACAATGGGCATTTCTAGACGAATTAGAATCTATTATGCATAGCCATGCATAAGATACCACAACTGCATATTTAAAATATATCTTGTTATTAGGCAATGTATACCCTTAAGCTCCAATTAGATTAATGTATTCTGACATTTATTAGTGACTAAAATATTGTTATTATTTTGTGTATTTTGGTATGTTTCTATGCATCACCCCTTAAATTGAACAATTATAACACTCAACCATTAAATAAATGTTCTCAACCATTAAATAAATGTCAAGGTTAACACTGTTGTATTGCCAAATTAGTAGAACAGTTTGTCTCAACTATTAGGGTTAGACCTAAGATACAATTAGTGGGTATTTTGTTGAAACATTGAACAATGATCATTTCTAATTATGCCTTAAACTTGGGAAATAGATGAGTAAAACTAAAAAGTTGCACTTAACCCCCTACAAACTTGATAACGACATTACACTAAGTATTAGATATGGCCGCTTTTGATGTACCAACCAATGAGATTGTTTAAGAGTCAAATACCTAGGTATGTTGGAGCAATTTGGAATATCACTTAAATAGATGATCATTGTGATAGGATCAACCACTTGGTCATACAAAGAGAATATGCTAGTTAAAACTCTCTCTAATGAAAACTTAAAACTACCAATAGTAGATTTCTATGTGTTTTGAAATGAATTTGCAAAATGTATTGATATCTATAAATAATTTATTTTATGAAAAATTTCACAAAAGGTTTTAATTCCAGGGTCCATCTAAGCAGAGAGTGTGGCACTGCATGTTGTAGTCAAGGAGGAGGTCCTCCTTATATAAGCAATGTATAGATATTAATAGTTGAGAGATTAAGAGCAAAAGTCTATAGACTAAAACCTCATGGGATTATTGCTCATATCAATTCATTGGAATTGGGCTTCATAAGGTGGATGAAACCAAATCCCACTTATGTTTAAGTGTTGGGCCCATTCTAAGCCCAATTAGATTGGGTAAGAGGTTCACTATGTATGTCTAGTGAATTTGGCCAATGTGGTTCTCAATATGGGTGGAACCCATATGGACTAATGTGAGAACTTAGGGGCCCCCACGCCATACAATATTAAGGTCTAATGGGATAGTTAAATATGCCAATTAAATGACTTGAGTGCAATGGTCCAATTCATATTAAAGACTTGTGTGACTAATGCAAGTCTACAAGTAGGAGAGAGTCTTGCCAGACATAATCTTTCATTATTCAACCACCAAACCTTAGTTCGACCAAGGCTGAGAGGGGAGTCTTTTCTCTCTTTTCTCTCTAAGTTTTTTCCAGCGAAAGCACAAAATACTCAGGTCATTAACAGCTGTATTCAAAGAGATACTATGGAGTGCACATTGATTCTTTAGAGAAGACTATATTGAGTTCTTATTGTAAAGTTGTGCCATCTTGTTCTTGGACATGAGTTTTGGGCGTAGACTACCACCTTGGGAGGTGCAATTGTAGTATTTGCATTAGATATGATTCCAACAATAATTTGGACAACAAATTTGATCATCTAAACCTAGATCGATCCATAGAGAAAATTGTTTCTATATGAGAATTTCAAAATCTCCATTCTTGGGTTGATTAAAAGTTTAATTTTGCACCTATAAAACCTAGCAAGGTTCGGCCTTTTTGGGCTCAAATCATTCCATTAAATAGTGGTACCATAGCATATGGTAGAATTAGCTCAAATCATTGATTCAATTTGATTCTTGGATCAAATTAGCTAGAACATGTCTAAGCAATTTGACCAATTTTCTAGTTGCTTTGAGAATTCGGTTCTCATAAATTGGGG